CTTATCTCCTACAGTGGGCAGTTCTTCATTCTCCCAGTCTCTGCCTTTGCCTTCTGTGACTTGGGCTGTGCATTTCTTGTTACCCTTAATGTCCCCGGCCAGATTAAACTCTATTAGGGCTTTAGCTTTCCTAACCTGATCTCTGGTTGCTTGGACAATTCCTTTGTATTCTTCCCAGGCTACCTGTCCTTGCTTCCACCCCCTATAGGCCTCCTTTTTGTGCCTGAGTTGGTCCAGGAGCTCCTTGTTCATCCATGCAGGCCTCCTGGTGTTCCTACCTGACTTTCTCTTTGTTGGGATGCACCGCTCCTGAGCTTGCGGGAGGTGACCCTTAAATATTAGCCAGCTTTCTTGTGCTCCTCTTCCCTCCAGGGCTTCATCCCATAGTGCTTTACCAAGCAGACCCCTGAAGAGGCCAAAGTGTGCTCTCCTGAAGTCCAGGGCAGTGAGCTTGCTGTGCTCTCTCCTCGCTACCCTAAGGATATTGAACTCCACCATTTCATGGTCACTGCAGCCAAGGCTGTCCTTGAGCGTCACGTTCCCCACCAGCCCTTCTTTGTTGGTGAGAACAAGGTCCAGCAAAGCACCTCTCCTCGTTGGTTCCTCTGTCTCTTGGAGAAGGAAGTTACCATCCATGCATTCCAGGAACCTCCTGGATTGCCTATGCCCTGCTGTGTTGTCCCTCCAACAGATATCGGGGTGGTTGAAGTCCCCCATGAGGACCAGGGCTTGTGAACGTGAGGCAGCTCCTATCTGTCTGTAGAGGGCCTTATCCACCCGGTCTTCCTGGTCAGGTGATCTGTAGCAGACCCCCACTACTACGTCCCCTGTCCCTGTCCTCCCTTTAATCCTGACCCATAAGCTTTCAGGCAGCTCCTCATCCATCCCCAGTCAGAGCTCCATGGTCACTGACACGGGCAACCCCTCCTCCTTGTCTTCCCTGCCTGTCCTTCCTAAAGAGCCTGTATCCTTCTGTTCCAACGCTCCCGTCATGGGCTCCATCCTAGTAAGGTCACAGCCCTGCAGATGTGTGCACGTCTGTCTCCTCTTGTTTATTCTCCATGCCACGTGTGTTTGCACAGGGGAATTTCAGTTGTGCCCCTGGTGAAGGTGGCTTAGTGGCTGGAGTAATTCTATTGTACTGCTCTTCAGGTGCTCTCCTGCTGATCTGTGATCCTTCTCCAGGAAGTGGTAGGAGTGGGTTAGTCTGAGGTGCCTCTTCGCCAGCTTGGCAAGCTGATGACCAAAGATGCTCCTCCCTTCTCTGGCAGATGGACCATCAGCCTGAGCAGAACGGGTTTCTCAAAGCAAGTCTAAGGTCGAAGTAGCTGAACCCCTGGCTGTGGCACCAGTCCTGTGACCATTTGTCGATTCGCCACATTCAACTGGCCTTTTCAAACCCTTCCCTTTGACTGGGAGGAGAAGAAAAAGCCACCTGCACTCCAGAGTGTCTTACGCTGCTCCCAGGGCTCTCTGATCCCAGGGACACCCCTCCGACTGCTCCTGCTGTGCCACTGGTGCCCGTGTCAGACAGCCCTGGATGGTGGGGGTCTGTATGAGGTCTGGTTGTCTGACGCCCCGGGTGAGCAGTGCAGCTCTCAGGTGTGTCCAGGCAGCAAACGGGCACCTCTGTGCCGCTCCGAAGAGCCGCCCACTGCTGTCACTCAGTGCCTTTTCCAGGTTGAGCTGGTGTTAACACGGGGAGAGGTCGTGCCACTTGCTCAGCTCCAGCAGCAGTCCTGATGCCGTGGATCCTTCCTCTCCAGTCTGCAGAGCGGTGCGGTGGTTCTGCAGGGGCTCCTCAGGCTCGGGGAAGTCTCATCCTCCTGCTGGTCCTTGCTGCTGCCAGCTTCTGTTCTTGGCACTGCCGCCCCCGCCTTCTGTGTGCCGGGGGAGAGTGGGCTGCTCGGCCGCGTGCTGTGGAACCCGTTTTAAAAGCGGTGGGGGTCTTGGGACGTAACACGCTTGCCGGAGTAGTTCCGGTGGGGGTGACTGTTTGAATGTCTGCCTCTTTAAATGGCTTTGGAACAAGAAGTCAGGGCTTCTGGCTTGTCTCTTTGCATGAGTAAACGTTTCAAACAGCTTTCCTTGGGGTTTGCCAAGGTGTAGAGGAAAAAACTTCCTTCAGTACAAGTGGAACATTGATTATCCATGGAAATTGTCTGTGGATCACCTTGCCCACACTGATCTGTGGACGATCTTCCCCACACACAAGCTTTTTGGAGTTGCTCTTTGTATGTAAAAGGCAAAAAGAGTCTTTTTGCCACACAAGTTCGAATTGTTTTTGCAAGAACGTGTTTCATTCTGACACATTTACCGACTTCTTTTCTGCAGTTACACCCCCTGATTACCAGCCTCCTGGCTTTAAGGAGGGCGAGTGCGAGGGGATGGTGTTTGAAGGGGAGCCCATGTACCTGAACGTGGGCGAAGTGCCAACGCCTTTTCATATGCTGAAAGTGAAAGTTACAACTGAAAAACAACGCATGGAAAACGTTGATAGAAGCATCCTAAAGCGTGGCGGAAGCAATGTGCCTCTCCAGGTGCTCAGAGTGGACAGAGAAGATTCAGAAGGTCCAGAAGAAGAGAACCAGGACGTGAATGTAAGAGCGCAAACGTTCTGTGTAGCTTTTTGAAATCCTTTGTGAGTTATAGTCTAGAAAAGGGCCATTATTCGTTTTACTGCATGCCTTACGATAATATTAATTAAAAACTCTGTGTTTCCAGACACATTTAAGCAAGACAAGACGTCTTCACTATGCTTTTGTTTTGATTTTACTGCGCCAGTTGTTCAGTACCGCTTTCACAGTGACAGGTTGCCAAGTGCATCAGCACAAGGCCTGTCAGCAGCAGCAGTGTTGTAGTCCTGGCTCTGCAGGCTGGAGAGAAGCAGAGGGGCAGCTCCGTGCTGGGGTGCAGGGGCTGTTGGCTCAGCTCCACGTGCAGGGCACAGGTGGAACCTCCCTGGCACTGTCTCGTACCAGTCTCAAGCATGCAGCAGCATTGACTGGCAGTGGATTTGCTCTGGCATCCTCTTGTACAGCAGTATGCACGCAGCCAGCGGTGCCACAGCTGACGTTAAACCAAATTCGGTTCCTTCTAGGGACTTTTTCCTGGGGAAACGTGCCAAGGAAAAAGCACAAAGCTCAACTTGCTGAAGGCACGAGCGCGTGACAGCTTGCACGCCCTGCTGCCGGTGCTGGAGCACCGAGGTGGCTCTTGGGGCTGTGGCCCTGAGGCTGCGTGTTTGCGGGGCCAGTGGCACAGGCAGGAATACCTTAGTCTGGTTAGGACGTGCAGATACGCATGCTGATCCGTACGGTCTGTGGTGAGAAGGAGGTGGAGCTTTTTGGCCCTTGCCCCCGTTAGCGTTGCTGGGGAGGCCTGGGGGTGATGGGATGCCAATTAACTGCCTGGCCCTCAAAATCCGCGTGCCTCCGAATCGCCATGTCCTCGGCAGCGCATGGCGGTAGCTGATGCAATGACAGTGTTCTTTCAATGTCTGTTGTTACTGGTTTAGTTTTACAAATGTTTTTCTCGGTAGCTGAATTAGTGGTGTTCTTGCATTGATAATTAATAAAGGCCCTGAGCAACCTGATCTAGTTGGAGATATCCCTGTTCCTTGCAGGGGGGTTGGACTAGATGACCTTTGAAGGTCCCTTCCAGCCCTAACCATTCGATGATTAAGTGATGCTGAGCTAGCCTGTGTGTCCCATGTCAGAGTCAATTCTTGCAATGCCTTTTGTTCTGCTGGAAATCCATCTCATAAGCTCTGGCTCCAAGTGTCTTGAGTACAAACCCTCTGCCTTGTTTGCCTGCAGTGAGTGATAGACCTTTTTCTTAACCTAGGAAGATCCTGCCTTGGATAATAAAGCGGAAGACAGGAATAATGGCAGTATTTCAGAAGCTCCAGGTAACATTTATGTATATTTTTCAAGCCTCTTCAGTTTGTGCCTGTTTTTCCTGGTGTTACTAAACTGAAAACTCAATTTTTCTGATGTAGACCACCTTATTCAAATTTACATTCTGTTTTCTTCACGTACATCGCTACGCCTTTATTGTCTATTGGGGCTTTCGTCTGTGAAGCAGTTGGTTAGCAAATGCACGTTTTCATGTTTCTGTTCTAAAATTCTTACCTTCTTTTTCTCTCATTATGTTTTTACTAATATATTCGATTTCCACATAAAGCTTGCAGGGGTATTGTGCTCTTGAGTGAATCATTGCAGGCTTGGGAAGCAGAATTCTCTGTGCAAAACATGGTCTGGGTCTATTTTTGTTTAAATTGCAGCTGTTTGGACCGCATCCTCACAGCTTCAGCCACTGAAGTTGAGCAGAAGTACCACTTTTAGCCACCTTTTTCCCTTAAACTACAGCAGGGCCACAGTCTGGTTCTGCAATCTGTACGTACTTCAGTCTGTGGTTGTGGCAGGATCAAGACTGTCAGGGCTTGTGGACACAGAAGGGATTTTAGGTTGTAGCCTGAGTGATGCCCGTGTAACAATTCCTGTCGCTGTGGTGCGTGTCCTGCTCTGCAGAGGAAGTTGTTCCTTGCTGTGGTTTGCTATTCCTGATACAGCAACTGCATCTCAAAATGTGTTTTGTTTCATGAACAGTCGTGTGACTATGTCTGTGCTGTTTAGTGCCTTTTCTGGCTGCTTACTTTCACAGCTTCATCTGGATTTGTGTGCCCCTTTCTCTTACGGCATACACAGGGCATTTTGGTAATTGCCATTGAAGTTTTTAAACTTTGGTTGTAATAGGTACAAGTTCTAGCAAAGCATTTTTGTCAGTATGAATCTCGGTAAACGGAGTTTCCTCAAGTGAAATCCTAACACTGTAAAATCTGCCAGTGTAGAACTGGGCAAACAAGGTGAGTAGCAGCAGAAAGCTAATTCCAGGTGGAAGCCTATAAGGCAGCCCGTCTCAAGAAGGTACCAAAACCATTTAATTCTGTTTTAGTTTTTTGAAAAAAGTTTCATATAGCAACTTCAATAGACAATCGAACTGAGAGCTCTGCAGAGAGCGTAAAGGAAATGTCATGTTTTGGAAGCACTCTGAGGACTCCTGACCCTGCAAGGCAAAGCTGCTTCTCCCTTGTTATCAAATAAACAGTTGTGCTGTTCCTGCAGTGCAGGACGTTAGGAAGTACCTGCTCATCCTTCCTGATGAAATCCAGCAGCGCCTGTCTCGTTGGATATTTCTTAGCCTTTATACATAGTTTCTTTGCTGTTTGCTCACAGTTGTGTGAATCTCCTCCACTGTAAGCTCTGGATGCAGAAATGCCAATAAAAACTGGCCTGGCTATGCCAGCCTGGCCGCAGCTGCCACCAGAAACAGCCTGGAAGCACTCCACTGTCCTTTTTTAATCAGTGCTCCAAGATGTGCACCCAGACTGGCTCCAGTTCAGAACACAAGACAGCAGACTCTGTCCTCAGGGATCTCTGTGAGCAGGAGCTTCCCTTTAAGGTTTTAGAGAAACTAGGAGAAAAAGTAGAAGAGTATTTATCTTCAGATTCTGCAAGATAGCACTGGGGCTCGAAGACTGAACTTTGCTACCAAGCAAACTGAGGAATGAGGTGATGCTTGTTGCCCTGCGCGTCTTGGAGAGGCTCTACAGGAAGCATTCAGACAATAGTGGTACCCATTTGCTGGAGAGAAAGCATTTCAAACATAGCAAAGAAAGGTCAAAAGGGGAAATAAGTCCCTTTTTGGGAAAAGATTATGTAGAGATGATGTAGATGAGCGCTTAGAAATGCTCTGATATGCTGGTGTGAAATACCAGCTAAAGGAACAGTTCTCAAGACTCCGAAGTAAAAAAACCCAAACTTTATGACCAAAATCTAGGGTGGAACCTTTATTTGGCCAAGAAGGCTGTGTAAAATGCTTTTTTCTGTAGCAGAGGTAGAGGCTTCTGTGGAGATAATGACCAGAAGTGCTCATTAGTGCTGCTGCCTGCCCTGTTCACTCTTCTTAATGCATTTCCCTAAAGCTGCATCTGCTTTACTCTGATTCTGCAGACTTCAGAAACACCAATTTTCTGTAAAAACTTCCAGACATGTTGCTTCCCATGTAACTATGAAAGCAGCAGCTGTGTCAGTGCCTTTTGGTCCTCCCAGCCCAAACAGGACAAGCAGCTTGTTAGGGCTGCCGTGGTCTCCGAGTGCGTGTGGAGGCAATGGGACAAAGCAAGTCGAGTCTGGATTTTCTTTTTCTAAAACGAGTTGGAGTGTCCTGGCATTCAGGCCCAGCATTGAACAGGCTGCACTGTGTGTTTAAATAGTGGTGTTGATGTGTTTTTCAGAAATAAAATGTGCAACTTTGCAAAAACAGCTAACATTTCCATGCTGATCAAAAACAATGATGGAAATGTATAGGAAATGGTGCGTGTGGATGAGCATTTTTATCTTGACAATGCTAGAGAAGTGCAGAACTGGAACAACCAAACACACAAAGTTGTATCTTGTGCTTTTAGAAGTTCATAGAAGTTCCCAAACCATGCAAAAATGCAGCGAATTGCTTGTCTTGTGGAGTTGGTATAATGACTTATTTACAGGAACTGCAAGACACAGGAAAATGTGTTTGTCACCCTGAAATTCTGCAGTCATTTCCACAGCTGAAGCACAGTCATTTTTAACCAGGTCATGCTTACATCTACATCTGGTGGAAAAACCAGCATGGATTACAAACAACAACAACGAAAAACCCCTCCAGAGCTGACTGCTCATCCTCTGTGGCCCGTTACGCAGCTGCGGGCAGTGCCAAGGGGAGCTGTAGCTACAGGAGCTGCAGCCAGAGTTGCTCGGTGTGTGTGGCTGGTCACAAACTGGGAGCTGTGTGCTGGCAGTGGGCTCGGAGCACGCAGCAGCTGTGCCAGAGTGGCCTGGCAGCGCTGTTTGTCCGTCCGGTGGTGCAGAACAGGCTCGTGAGGCTTGCTGCTTGGGAGCAAATCCCAGCGGAGACAAACCTTGAGCAGCACAGTGTGTGAGTTCGGGGATCGGACGCGCTCTTCCCAAGATCCCGTGTGTAAGTGCGTGCTGCTTAGCAGCAGCGTCTCTGGCATGCCTGTGGTAGGAATGATGGAATTAGATGTGAGAGAGTGTAACGCTCGGAGTTAACGACTTGCACAGGGAGAATCAGCCCTTGCGAGGCACCTGGGCAGCATTCATGAAGCGCGTGTTCCTCGTGACAAAACAGGAGTGCCAAGAGGCTGCCAGTGTGCTGTCAACAGTTTGCTTGATTATTCAACAACTCTTTTATAGAACCGAATTCAACTTGTGAGGATGATGAGGTTGTGAAGCCTGGAGGGAACCAGAATCTGTCTGTGTCTAATCCTCAGGTATGGAAACTGCCCTCTGTCAACTTAAACTTCTGCTAGAGCTTTAGTGAAGCTCCTTTCCTGCTCCGAGAGAATCATGGCTAATCTGCTAAGGGTTCAGTGACCACAGTCAGTATTTCCAGCAGTACAGTGCCTGTAGGTTTCACTTTCTGGTGCTTTGTAAGAACAGTTCATGTTCTAAAGCCATCACAAAATGCCGTTCCTCTGTCATACAGTTTTCAAACCACACAGATGTCTGACTTAAGGGAAATGGGAACGTAATTTCCATGTTTAGAAACGGCCATAACTGAACACTGCCTAATAGAAATTTCTCTGCTAATGCTGACAGCCCACAGGTTGATGCAAACTTCAAACGCAGGCTTGTTACTCAGGCTGTATTCCCTGCACGTAGCAAAACTGTGTTATTTCAACATGGAGCACTGCTTCAAAGACAGCTCCTTAAGTTTTCTTGGAGCAGAGTACTAACTGCGAGTGACTTGCTGTGCACGAAGGTTGTGCCAGAGATCTCTGGCACGTTCAGCTACAGGTCGTGCTGTTGGCTTCAGTGTTATATCCCTGGATTTACAGTTCCAGAGCTCTTCGCACGCTTCGGCACTGAACGCTGCTGTAGCCTCTAACACATTTTTGTTTTGGTTTGTTTTTTTTTTTTACTGCTGTCACAAGGCAACATCCATTTTCTGATTTTAGGTTGATCATTTGGCAAGTAAGACGTCTGAACTTCACATGTCGGAGAGCAGGACAAGAAGTGGAAAGATATTTCAAAGCAGCACCGTTAGTACCGTTTTTTCTCTAGTTCTGTTCTTTCCATCCCTTTTCTTTAAGCCTTTTTCTGTTCCAAACAGCAGATAAACGTATTAAAGCTTAAGAGTTTTAATGTTGACAGAATTAAATTCTTATCACTTCCAAAATTCCTATTAAATTCAACACATTTGGATTCTTGATGTCAAAAAATTCTCTTCCAAAGAGCTCAAAGCTGAGTGCTGATATAGCTAACACAAGTCAAGAAAGATCCATTAGGATTGATTTGTGTCTTTGTGAGGCTGCATTTAGCCAAATTCCCCACTGCTTCAGTGCGTTGTTGATGGGAGCGTGTGCCAGCAGAGTCCGGAGGGGAAACCGCATGCCAGGGCCAAGGAAAACTGTACCCTTCCTGTCCCTACTCAGGAGAGCTCTTCATTAGTTTTTGGTGCAGTAGTTGTGCAAGGATTCATGAAGTGCAGCTTAGTCATCGCCAGTGGTTTTCTCCTAGATTAACAGTTGCCTTATTTCTGTGGAGGCCGATGGAAGTTGGGCTTAGGAGTGTGGAAAATTCATTGCTCAGCACAATGTTTTAAAGAAACCCAGGAGAGAAATTTGTCTGTGTCTTAAAAATACCCGTGTGTGAAAGGGCTCACAGAGTTTCCAACAAATCCATGAAGCGGAGATGTTAAATTCAGAACGTAGAACTAGCAGATCCAGTCTTTTTGTGGGGAAGTACTGCTTACCACAGAAAAATTGGTTTTGCTGTCAACCCCAGGGTCATGTGCAGTATTTGTTACTCACTGATGTGGGAAAAACCCCAAAACATTCTGTATCTATCACTGTATCTTTCTTTTAAAAAAGCCTCTGTTAATGTGCTTGATACACCAGGATTTAACAAGAGCACAGTTGCTTTAAACAGTCAAAAGCACAGCAGAGCTCAAGGGCAGTTTGTCAACTTTTCGCACGTGTGCAAGTTGGAAGCAATGGGATTAAACTGGGAAGGGCGAGGCCATGTGGTGCTGAGCCTCCTCTGCCCATGGTGCAGGGCGCTCTGCTCTCGTGCCAGCTCCCCAGTGCCCTGGCGCTGGGGCTGCCGCGTCAGCTCCGTGCTGCGCCAGGAGCTGTGCTGCAGCGCGTCGGCTCTGCCGAGGGGAACCACCTTCCTTAGTTCTCCTGGAGCCGTGACGTGCAGCAGCTCCTGCTGTTCCAGCACAAACACATCCCAGCCCTCCCGTGTCGTTTGGAGGGAGGGTCAGTCCTGCCAGAAAATGGCATCCAGATGTTACTGCGGGCGCAGCACCTCTGGGCAGGGACCGGGTGATAGCATAGGAGCCAGGTGCTCGATACGCGGATCCTGGTGCGTGGCACAGCGCTCTGGTCCGGGGTGGGCTGTTCCCGTGGGAAGCTGGCTGAGCTGTGGAGCAGGCCGCGGTCTGTGCCGCACGGCAGCCCGTGATGCCGAGTTTGTTTTCCCTCGGCAGGTTCATCAGCTGGATCCCTCGTCGAGCCAAGATGTGCTGCCCAAAAGGAGGAAGATCAGTGAGCCGAAGGAGCAGTTCTAGGCACCCATCTCCCGGCTGGTTGCCTGCGGAGTTCCTCTCACACCGCTTCCGTTTCGTCGTTTAATGGGAATGTTCATATTTAAATATCTCCTGGGGATCTTTTCTATTTGTAGTGGAAAGGGAGAGTGTTTTAAGGAAAGAAAATCTGTCCAGAAGCCCAGCTGAAGAAATCAGAACTTGTTTTTTGTAGGTCGGACTCCACCAGGAAAGACAGAAGGTACCTGACTGCAGATGGGACTGGGACCATTTCTGTTCCATTACCCACAAGACCCAGTTTCACTGGAAACTTGGGGCTGTTGCAGAGTGGAGGAGCTCCCTGTCCAACCTGCCTTGGGGGGCACAGAACCCCCAGTCCTGGGTGCATCTCCAGAGTTCCATGGAGCAGGTTCCGGAGGGCTGGGTGGTCACAGCCGTGTTTCATGTTGTTCTTTCACTCCTGGGACAGTTGGGGGGAGGGGGGTTCATTCTTGGTTCATTCTTCCAGACCGAAGGCACCGGACCCCAGTGAAAAATATTCTTCATACCTTCAATTCCATGTTTCCTGCCAAAACACTGACTTTTCCGTACAGCTGTGAGGAGACAGATGTTTAATTAAAACCAGTGGTGATCTATGGCAGGCACCTGTTACCATGGTGTGAGTTACTGGGATAAGCCTGTGGGTACTTGGAGCGATTGATCGCAGGGGGCGGACCCGGTGCCGTTCCTGTTCCCAACAAAAAGACGTTCCTTTTCCCCGTGCTGGCGAGGGATCGGAGTGAAGGCGTGCTTGCTGGGGACAGCTGACGGTTTCGTGGCGTTTTCCACGCTAAATTAACAGTGTCTTTTGATCATTCCGCAATTAAAACTGTTGACGTTTCGTCGCTGCGTGTTTCTTCGCCGCGGGCACCGCCGCGCGCTGGGGGCTCCGGCACAGCGGGCGGTACCGGGAGCTCCCGGCCGGGGCGGACCCTGCGCGGGGGGAGCGCGGCGGGAGCAAATTTGGCAAAAAAGGGGCGAGATGAGGT